GTGGGTGTGGGTGCGTGTGGGTGTGGGGTGTGGGTGTGGGTGTGGGTGGGTGTGGGTGGGTGGGTGTGGGTGTGGGTGTGGGTGTGGGTGTGGGTGGGTGTGGGTGGGGTGTGGGTGTGGGGTGTGGGTGTGGGGTGTGGGGTGTGGGGTGTGGGTGTGGGTGTGGATGGGTGTGGGTGTGCGTGCGGGTGATGAGAAAATCCACACCCACACCCACACCCACACCCACACCCACAACCTCACCCACACTCTCACCCACATCCTCACCCACACTCACACTCACACTCACACTCACATCCACACCCACACTCACAACCACACACCCACAACCACACCCACAACCACACCCACAACCACACCCACACCCTTTTTTTGATTTAGAAATATGGAAAAGATGTTGCACAAGTAATTCGATCAGAATTTTCTGGTGATGCAGAAGATGCTTAGCTTGTTTTAACCCTTTGGTGCCGGGTGTGGTATATATACCACCTCAGATTTTGAGAAATACTCGAAATAGTATTTATACCACTCCAGCCGCCAAAGGGTTAAAGTAATAAATAATAATTTATTTAGCAACCTACATAAAGCTTGTTAATGTCCTATATGGCCAACAGGCGATTTTATCGCATTTATTCAGAAGCTTAAATAAAAATACTTTATTTTTTCAAAAAACCCAGGCACCAAAGGGTTAATAACATGTATACGTGATCGACCCGCAGTTTTTGCTGAAGGTTTACATAAAGCAATTGCTGCTTTAGGTACAAGAGATTCAACACTTATTCGTGTTATTGTTACACGTTCAGAAGTAAATTTCATATAGAGAAAATAGAAATCTGAATTAAAAATTTGTTTTTTTTGCTTATTAGATTGATCTTGCACAAATTAAACAACGATATCAACAAATGTGTCATCGTTCATTAGCTCAAGATATTGGAGGTGATACATCGGGAGATTATAAACTAATTCTTTTAGCAATTATAAAATGAAATCTATAATGAATGAAAGAGAATGAACTTTTATCGAATGCTTTATTCAGTACATATTTGAATAAATTTATTTCTTATTTTAAGGAGTTGTAACACCTGCAAGTAATTGTTGTACCAATAATGCATGATTATTATTATTTAGAAGAGCTTGAAATGTCGCTTGATCCAATGTTCCTACATATTTAATCATAGATAAATTCTAAATCAAAAATTTTCTCTCCCAACCTGTAACTGGAACACCTAATAACCCTTGAAGAGTAGTCCAAGCTTGTGTAGCTCCTACTCGATAACATAACGTTTGAAAGGCACTAGCAAGTGCTGATTGAGGCCACCATTGATTGAAAAATTTTTGAGCTTGACGACATTGAGTATGATTGGTACTTGTAATTTAACAACATTATTTAGTAAAATACTTCCGACAACTTACCCACCGTGTCCATGATGTCCATGTCCATGATGTCCATGACCATGCCCATGTCTACCAGCATTGATCAATTGCATGGTAGCCAAAGTCAATAGTAGAAAAACAACCAGCATGTTCCACTGGTTAATATGCATCTTGTTTTTTAAAGCAGTTATATATTGTCTGGAAGGAAAGTAGAGTCTATATATATATATATATATGGCTTTGTATGTCAATCATAAATCAATGTACTTTGAAGCCATTAGGTAAGCTTAAAGAAATCAAAGCTTAGTATCATCACTACCCACGTAATAAACTTAAGCAAACAGTTCTAATTACATTTTTAGTGTTTGATTTTCAAATGTAACTCATGTTTTAGATAACAAATGTTCTTTTTCGTATAATTTATGCTGAGTAGTATCGAAAAAAAAATCAGTTAACAATATTCCAAGATGATATAATACAGTATATCAATAATTGATAAACTTGCGTAGCATACTACTTGTTTTTTGAAACATGAATCAAATTATTCATCAATATAATTATCTATTTCACAATAGCATACGCGTGTTAGAACGTTGAATAGCTCGGCATCACGAGCTTATCTAGTACGGTCAAACCGATACATCATCGATAGACAACTATTCACTGAGTGCATTCTATTCTATAAATCCGACCAGATCAAATAGACAACAAGTTTTTAGAAATCGATTAGATCATCCACTGAGATGAAGTAGATTTGAATTGGTACTGGAGTTTTGAGCTAGTTTCAAAGCACTGAAATCTGATATTTCTTGATTGGTTGTCTGTTTTCTAAATTTAGATCTCCTCTGAAGTACTGTATACAATGGTCAATAGCACAAATCAATAGCTGCTCGTGATATACAGCAAAGAGAAAAATCAAAATAAATCTGAGCAAATAATAAAGCTTATTTTTTCAGTGATACACAAAAAAGAATAGTTAGTTAAGTACGAGAGTGTTGTGATGGTGTAGTATTACAATATCCTGTTTGTTACTTAAAATAATGTCATCATCGAATATTGCTGATTTTTCTAATCGATAAAGAGAATCATTTAAATATTGAATATTTAATAAAAATAGAAAAAGAATACTTACGTTTTGGCTGAATATCATCGACAAACTGGATGTAGATTAGAAACATTTGTTTGTTTAAGTTCGAAATAAAGTCTTTTTTTTTCTATATTCGACTTCAGCTTTCATGCCTTCTATGTATTCATGTTGACTTGTGTATTTTTGGTAATGAAACTATGAGTCATTTTTTTATCTAGTGAATTTGCTAATGTTCCTCTTGTCAATAAGCAAATCGTTTTTTCTCTTTTTCGAGTTTCATTTGCTACTTTTTTCTAATTCAACTTGTTCGGAATCATTTTCTTATTTATAAAAAAAAAAAAGAAAGAGAAATCATACTCTTCCTGTGATGAAAACTCAATGTCCATATTTTTTTAAAAAATCCGATTTTCTAAGGGGGACTCCCTTAAACAAAAAGAGATCGATGTGATAAAATTTATGTAAAAACTACGTATCTTAGATATTTTTTCTTTTGTTGTCTTTCACTAATTAACAAATATTTGTTGTAAATATCGTTCTCGTCGTTTTTTTTTGAATTGATGATCAGCATGATTTAAACGTCATTCGATATCACGTCGCACTTGAGTATTAAAAGCTTTTTTTGAAGACAATTCATGAAATCGTATTTTAATTAATTCAATTTTTGTTTCTTAATATAATTTTTTACATATTACTTCAAGTTTCTGATTTTGTACTACAGTAAAATTTCTATTAATGAGCACCTTCCGTTTTGAACAAGATCTCAATCCCACGAAGTGATTTTTATTGGAAATGCATCCTCCCTACTCTGAACTTTGTTTGTACAGTCCCAATTACGCTTTGAACCTCTTTTAAATGAACACACATGCATCTTTTTCTCTCTCTCGTCTTCATCATTTCGGACTAATGTACTAAAACTACTGTGTATGTCAGGTAAAGCAATGACATTACAACATTATCCTATGTTAAATGAAAAAAAACTCAATAAATTAATGATAACAACATGAAATAAAGCAGTTTTGTATTCGGTTGAAAATCTTTTGCATTCATAAACTAGCTGGTTTCGTAGTCGTCCTATATTTCCTATAATCAATACTATTCCTGAGGCCTATATCCCAAGGTGCAGATAGTAGTGACTCTACGTATATAAACTGCTTCACTTTTCATTTTTATCGAAATAATGAATCAGGTATGATGCAATTGATTGTTTTCCTTGTTAAAATTTTTTATCCCTAGTGAACGCATAGCAGAAGACCTCTGCTCTCCGTTCTCACAGGCGTGACAGACACATCTGCAAGAACACTTCACTCTTCATGGACTAGGACGAGTACACTCACGAGACTAATCTAATACAGCTATAAGATAGATTTTCTTTGTGCGTCTTTCATACTGATTGAAATATATTGTGATTAACATCTTTTGTTTTTTCATCGACGAAAAACATACGTTGATGTATTCCTGTTTTTTTTCACAATTCTTATATTATGAAACTTCTTTTAATTTCAATGTAAACTACATGGCATTTTCCATATGATGAACACTTTTCAAAAGTCCTAATGGCGTTTATTTAAGAGATGTTTTACTATATAAAATTTCTGTGCAGGCGATATAACTTGTCAAGTTGAATAAAAGAGAGAACAAACACTTGAAATGTTTATATTTATTAAACTAAAATGTTGTTTGTGACTCTCATGAATACATAACGAAGGATAAAGACAACTTGTAATCGTTGAAAAAAATGAGATACATCGTACACACAGATAAATAAATGCCATTTTGAAGATACTTTCCATGCAAGAGACTTTATCAATCATAAATTATTAATAAAAATTAAATATGATTTTCTTTCTACTAATATTTTTCACAATGAATACATTTGATTTTTAATATCATTTGATATGATTAATTCTTGTTTAACGACATCTATAATTGTATTATTAATTGCTGTCAGGGTAACAAGTTTTATATTATTTTGATAAGCGAATGTTAACTAAGATCTCATATTTCATTTCTTCAATAAAACGACATGTTGTTTGGTAAGATTTCTTTTTGGGTGTGGGTGTGGGCGTGAGTGTGGGTGTGGGTGTGTGGGTGTGGGTGTGGGGTGTGGGTGTGGGGTGTGGGTGTGGGGTGTGGGTGGGTGGGTGGGTGTTAGTGCCCTGCGGTTCCTATAATTACCCGGGAACCGAACCGGAACCGTCGGTTCCGGTTCCCAAAATCGAAAAAAAGCGGTTCCAATTTCGGTTCCTAAAATTTGTTTTAGGAACCGGTGTTTTTACATTGATATAGAAAATATTGAGTAAGATATTTTTTAATTTCTGTATTCCTTTTTTGAGATTGTTCATGTTTATTATTTCATAAAAAAGTTTGAAAAAATACGATGAAAGATGAAAGAATGAGAAAACATGCTATTATAAAATATGTTCACATGAAATTATTAATATTACAAAGTTTTAAAATAAATCGCCTTCATCATTTTCTTCGGAATCATTAGGGTGTGAATGTGGATGTGGGTGTGAGTAGGTGTTGGTGTGGGTACCAGTGGCTGCAGAAATACATGTAGTCTCACTCACAGTCACAGCAACACCCCACCCTTAAGTTCTTATTGCTTCCAATAATTTATTTTAGGGGTAGCAATTGCTAACTATTGCATTGCTGGCGCGCCGCCTATGGTTTTAAATATGAGCATGAGAAATGCTCAAAATGCATCACTACACAGGTCATAACCTGTGTCCACATATTATTATGTTGCATTTGAATAATTTCTTAGCTATCATTAAAAAAGTTCGGTTCCAACGGTTCCGGTTCCGGTTCCATTCCCTTTTTTTCCACAGTTCCGGTTCCGGTTCCGGTTAATAGAAATTGAAAAAACCGATTTCCGGTTCGGTTCTCGGTTCCATTTTTTTTGGAACCGCAGGGCTCTAGTGGGTGTGGGTGTTGGTGTGGGCTGTGGGTGTGGGTGTGGATGTGGGTGTAGGTGTGGGTGTAGCACTTCATTCTACTCATGCCCAAACCTACACCCATATCCACACCCACACCCA